GCGGCGCGGCGGGCGCGCGGGGGGCCGCCGGCGCGCGGGCGGCGGCTTGGCCGCGCAGGGGCGCCGTGGGCGCGGGCCGCCGCGGCGCGCGGCGGCGACCGCCAACAACACACACAGCGAGGGACTAGGCGACCGGCGGCGGCGGCGGGCGGGGCGAGGCTCCCCCCCGCGGGGCGCGGGCGGCGGCGCTCGCAGTGCCGGCGGGGGCGGCGGCGGCGTGCGGCGGTGGCGCGCGGGCGGCGGCGCGACGACGTCGTCAGCAGCGGCAATCGTCGAGCCGCCAGGGGGCGCGCGCCGCCGCCTACTTGCCCCACTTTGGAAGAGGCCCATGCGTTGGGCAGCGGCAGTTGGCGCCCCACAGGTTGCGAGCGGCACGCGCGCATGTTGTCAAGCAGCAGTTCCTTGGCCCGTGGTCGCAGTGCGCCGCGCCAGATGCACGCGCGCCTGAAAGGTAAATCAAGGATAGAGACCGTCTGCGGCGCCGATCAAGGCGGCCGGTATCTCGACACACGCCCCTCGCACGCGGGGCTGGGCGGGGTGGGGCCGGCAAGCAGGGCGGCCAGGCAGGCGGTTGGGGCGGGGCTGCCGGAGAAGAACGTGGTGCGCCGGCCAGTCGAGGGGGCGCGACCCCGCCCCGCCGGGGGCGACGAGCGTCCCGCGGCGCCGGCCGCTTCCCTCCCTCCTCATCCCCTCCTTCAGAGAGCGCCCATCTGTTGATCTTGGGACGAAGCAAGTCGACTGGAGCGAGCGCGCCCAATATGATTACGAACAAAAGAGGATGAAAGTTGTTTAAAGGTTCTCTCGGGCAGATGCTCTGCACCACTACATATGGCACGGAAAGTATCCGTGTTACACGGGATGATCCGGGCGGAAGAAAAAACCGAAGGTGTAGAAACGAACATTTGAACAAGTAAAAAAATAAAAATAAACGGAACTCCAGATTTAACCGGGAGCCGACTGCAGGTTACAGATCGCCTGCGCGGTGTAGGCGTCGTGTAGAAGCGGTGGGTCCCCTTCCTTGGTCGTAGGCCGCCCGCCTTTTACTTCTCAGCGACCGCATCACCGCCCCCATCGACACCGCGACCACCGCCGCCGCCGCCGGGTCGCACTTGCGAAGTCGGCACGTAGCCGCGGGCGTGCGGCGTGGGCGCGGCGGGAGCGGGGGCGGCCTAGTCGTGTAGAGCGCTCGCCGCCGCGTCCGCCCCCAGCCCTTCCAGCACGTAGGCCAGCTGCGCCGCCGCAGAGTCGTCCTCGTCCTCCGCCCACAGCTCCAGTATCAGGCGGCAGCGCTCCGTGTCGTCCGACCTCTCGCCCTCGAAGTACAGGATCTGCGCACGCACACACATCTACATATTAGTCATCGATCACATTCCTACGTAGGGGGAACAGCGGTTGAGAAAGATGCGGTACCATCATCATTAGAACAATTTATTTTTTTCTTCAACCGATGAAAACATCTCACACACCATCTCACTTCCTTCTACAGCATTCCAAACCACACACGTACGTACGTACGTACGCACGCACACACACACACACACACACACACACACACACACACACACACTGTTCACCCATGCATTTACTAGTAAATTATTCCCTTGTATAATATTTTATTTCAAGGGTTAAAGTAAAGAAGAAAATATTTTACGGACTTTTAAAGGGAACAAATTTGCTTGTAAAACGAAAAAATTCAAAGGAATATACTTAAAAATTTCATTCTATAAGGGAATACGTTGAACGATAAGGGAGGTACTCCAAACTCTCATTTCGGAAATTTTGTGGAGCTAATATTGTTATTATGAAATTCTTAATGAATTTAAAGAAATATTTTCAAGATTTTTTTTTATCAGACTTCCTTAAAGCAAACGAAAATATTTGCAAGAACTGAATGCATCTTGAAATTTCAATTCAATGCAATTTTCCAATAATTCAGCTTACCAAGGAAAACAATACTTCACTTGCTCGGAAATAATTATTACTAAATTGAAAACTACTTCCTAACTGAACGTTGTAATCTTTAACATTAATTTATACGAGTGACTAGTTCTCAATGAATTTTGGGGACACATTTTAGACCTAAGAAGAAAACACTTATTTAAAATACCATTTCATAAATAATTTAAATGAAACATTACAGTTGAAGTACAATTCAATGCAAGGACACAGATTATACTTCACTTCAACCCCTCCACAGTAACAAAGGTCATGCAAGAGCCGTGAGAATCGCAGGGTATAGCGTCATATGTCGCTGCAATAATGCTCTCAACAGCCCCAAAGCGAAGCCACCAGCTCACCACTGGCTAGTAGAGAGGTGCCTGAAGTTACGGCCTTCATTGCCACCTGCACGCTCGCAGCACACGTTGAATATGCAACTCGACTCGATCCTGGGTCAAAGCGGGTTTGCCCGCTCCACGACTGCTAGAGAATCAGGTAAGTGAAGTTTACTCTAGTCTTTTCTATAGCTAAACGTGAAACGGTTTAGTCAAGTAGGGTAAAGGCAGAGTGTCGCAGTAGGCGTTCACAAATACATGATAAGTTAAAGAGATTATGTGGTGATTACGGTGTGATAGCGCCAAAGGAACGAGAATTTATGGTAATAATATTCAGTATTAACTAATCGTCCTATTACGTGTAGACATAATGATCCACAGAAACACCTTACATACAGTGCGCTCAACCATTATCGTTAAGGCAATTTCCCTATCATGTAATTAATACCAGAGTATTTTACTTAATTAACAAGTGGGAAATACGATCGCTACACTCTTGCCTCTGATCATATCTTCTCCATTTCCCCATGACAAAAGCTGCTAAATTAATTTCTTGAACATATAAAGACGATTAAGCGAGAGGTAAAAAAATCCCGCTCCTCAAACTGTCGAAAGTCCGTTTAGAACGATTTATATTAGAACATTTGACTTTTATTTAAATTACTTTACGTAGCTATATAACAATAGGCTAGACAACGTCTTGTAAATGGGAATGCGTTCGTCGGTTTGTAATGAGCACGAAAAATAGGCAAGAACGTGCAAGAATAATACACAAACCTAAGGCATCCGATTGTACAGTGACGTGTCCTGGATGACTTCGATCATCTCATTTACATTTTGCGGTAAGTTAATTACTGTCATTGTTCCCCCACACGTAAGATGCCAGAGATTAGTTGGCATGCGAGCGAGGAAGCAGTGTCTTCCCTCGCCTGAAGTGAAAATTGATCTTTGAGCGTTATTTCAACATCTTTTTGTGGGTCAAAGTAAGTACAAACTTTCTTTTGCAGCATGTTATCGTTGTCACACTGTGAAAGAGTCTCTCACCCACATTTACACACCAACCAACGTCACAATAAAGAAGACATAAAAATAAACAATACGCTAAGAGTTGAGATGGCAGGCCAAGAGTTGAGAACGCAGAAACTAACAAAAAAAAAGTTATAAGGAATGGAATGCGGATGTTTGTGTCAACTATGACTTACTGTGACTTATAGGTGTTGTGGTATGTTATCGTTGGCATTTTTCATGAAATAATTAAAGACGTCATTGCCAACAATATTATTTAATGTAAGAGCAGCTTTCGATGGCTACTACTTAGTAGTCGCTTTGTGGCTTCCATCAAGCAGACAACTGATGATGATGGCTAAGCCATCGAAAGCTGCTCTTACATTAAATAATATTGTTGGCAATGACGTCTTTAATTATTTCATTACTGTGACTTACTCTATGGGAATAGGAACAAGTCAAGACGTAGCTGATAAGGGGTTTTATCATACGATAATGTTCATGAGATTTCTGATAGTTGACAATAAATTGTGAGAGGAGTTTTGTTTGGAAAGTAAAGACAGGAAGGCAATGTTGCTCCAATTTTTAGCACAATATGGGCTTGGTACTTCAATCTGTAATATCTGAGATTTTAAAAAAAATTTCAATTTCAAGAATTTAGAACCCTCTAAATACACAAGAAAAAATAAGAGTTTTTGGGCTGAAAAATTCGCCGTTTTCCGATGCACGATTACAATCCTTTCTCTTCTTACGTTAGTAAGTGCGAGAAAGTAATACTACTTGGTACGATCAGTAAGACATCTTCGACACAAAAGCCCGCTAAGTTTGCTAACAATAGGTAGGGTGCTTTAGAACAAGAAATCCCCCGGAGGTGCAAAAGTCACATTTAAGACGAAACAACAAGAATGTCAGATTATGTTTTAAGCATATAACCATTACGCATAGCTCTGGAAAGATGCATCCTAGGCTTTTAAACTAGGTTTTCATGTCCTTGGCACGAGTTTTGTTTCGCATGCCATAATATACAAAATTAAACCTTTTAGGACCTTTTATTACATTTTTTAGGCGGATACACCATCAAGCACTGTCAAACACTTCGAAGTTGGGTCTCAAAACTATTTTCACTTTTAAAAAATTTAAAAGTTACAATAATAACAAATATAAATACTTAGTTTCTAACTTCAAAGCACTTCACTGCGCTCCATTTCACTTCACAATACCACCGGACACATAACTTACTTCCCATTCTATTTCCTCTTCAACGTAACCCTTCCACGAACGAAGTTAATTATTAAATGGTATGAGTTAATAAAGAAAGAAAAATAATCATATCAACAATTGCTGTAAAAAGGCTAACTAATGAGTTAAAAATAATATTTTATTTTATTCTTGCTTTACTTAGTAGGAAGAGAATTTTCGACAGAAAAGCTGTTGCCGGGACTTGGTTAGATAAATCTTATCCTATACATACTAAAACAACTTCCTCTAACACGTTGGGTAGTCAGAATCTATGTTTTATGGGTTCTTGAGACCGAAAAATCAATTGACAGAAAACGTCTGTCTATGGTCCAAGCTAGCGTCTAAACCGTTCGGTATAGGGAGTTTGAAATGGATATTTTGAATTTGGGGGAACTTTACATTAAGCCTCAAGAACAATTTCCAATATTAAAAAAAGGCTTCACCTTTTATGATTTAACTTGTTTCTCAGCCTAAAGAAAGCTTAAAAGAATGGTGCAGGTCTCATTTTCCCTAAAATTCATGAGTTTCAAAAAGTGCAAAAACCCAACAATATTAAAGATTACATATTTTTTCTTAACAAAATCTGTCGTCCAAATACAGACCGTGAAATAAGATTTAGTTTTTAATATTGCCTATATTCACTCAAAATTGTCTGAATATTACTAATGTTTTGAAAATGTCTTTATACGATTTTAATTAAAGAAACTGGGGGAGTTAACGGCCTGTGGCATCTTTATAAGTAAGTGCATTTCACTCTGTTTTTCAGTTAACAGCAAAATACTGTAGCCATTTTTGAAAAAATATCGAAAATGTCCTACGGGCTTCATGTGAAATACACCTAAAATTCAAGAATTGTTTTCCAAATCGTGTGCTACTGGATCGGGCCAGATCGGACGTGGAATTTACCGGTTGGAATAAATCCTACGAATAATTTACAGAATAATGTTGTTCAGGTGGAGAGGCAGATTGGCGGACTTAACTACATTACATAACTTTCTCTGTAGTACGTTTATTATTCCGTATATTTATTCATAAAAGAGGAAGTAAAAACGCTACAAAAATTGAAAAATACTGGCACATTATGAACGCAAAAGTACTTTGCAGTATATAGCATATCATGAAAATTAGTATAAGACAATTTCTGCCGAGAAACATTCGCTTCAGTAGCTACTTTCCTCGTGTTTGGATAAGGAGCTCTAGATTGCACACAAGGTCGGAAGGTTCAGCGGAGCGAAAAGGCCGTCCAATAGGCAGGGTTTTAGAGCGTTGCTCGTACGACATTAAAGGTTATCCACCTCTTTTAATTTCTCATGCCCTGCCAAAATGATTGACATTATGCCAGATTAATGACAATGTTCTTGAAACCATTGGAAAGGGTAGAGGACGGCAGATCGTAATCATATTGCCAGAAATGAATTTACAATTCAGAAAATCACAACAAAAAATAATAGTTTGCAATTTAGAAAATAGGAATGACATTTAAAATTCCAACTGAAAATACCAGCAAAAAACGAATATTAAAATTTAAAGCACTTGCAAGCGAAAAAATCGAAGTCTTTTAATGACGTGGACAGCTTTTTCTTCGTCTAATCCTCAACCGAACCTAAACAGTAGACCACTTCTGACAGTTACAATTTCTCTTTGTTTCTTTTCCGAGAATGCCATCCGCAGGTAGCTGTTATCTTGGGCCAGTATGCGGGAGAGCTTCTAGAGAATTGATTGCGCGTCCGCTGGCGCAGGCGAATGCTGACCGCTTGGGCAACATGCGCTTCCAGGCCCGTCGCCAACACGCGCCACGTCCGCCCGCCCGG